ATTGAAAATATGTTAAGAAAAAATTGTTCAAAATATAAAATAACCATTTAAAACATTTCAAATTTTCCGTAAGACCAAAGTAAATTTTGAAATTTTTGGTGTTTCAAATACGTTTTAAAACTTACATTATGTTATTAATATTAATGAACATACTGGGAAGTTTTAAGAACAGTAGCTAATTGTATTCTGTACTCGGGATAATGATGTTTGTCGACAATAAATCATTATTATACCCCAATAGAAAACAATGGCTTCCTGATGTTTCACAAATTATCTATTGAAGAAATATGCAAACAAAATCTATCAATCAATCAAATCTTAACTTGGATATAAATAGTAACTATTACAAGTACATTGTACTAGTTACTAGTACAACTCAAATTCGAATTAGCAATTTGTTTTTCATAACAACAAGACTATTAGTTTATCATGAGCAAGCAAAGTACTTCCAAAACACTAATAATATTTCTTGGAGTCATACTGAAGAAATCCTAGTTTGAGTAAAGTTAATTATATGAAATTTTAAAAAGTACAATGTACTATATAATTACATTGTTTGATTTTTAATGAAAATAGAACAAATTGGCTTAGATATCTACTTCTATGAGATTATTTTAACCAAATTCATAAAACAAGGCTAAAATAAATTGAATGTATTTATTATAAAGAGTTCATAACAGCGGCTAAGTTAATGGGGGGGGGGGGTTGATGAGGATAGATCTTCCTCAGAACAAAGTCATTTTCATGGTAAAGTTAAAATTTATGTTCTTTTGACGATGGAAGTGAAAAATTGTCTCATGTATATCGCCCCAGAACAGAACCATAACTACGTCACTGGTTCAATACTAATGGTTGACCGTCTGAGTATGTGTCCAATGCTAGAAAGCGTTTTGCTACTTAAAAATCAAAGTGCGCCCGCACTGCAAGAATAGTAAAGATTAATAATAATATTTCCCGTTCTTTTGTCGGCGCGAGTAAATAATTCTGATCGCGTGCGCAATATCCAACACCATTTCTTCAAACACATCATTGTATTGTGCAAACCGTTAAAACAGCGATAGATGGCACATTAATTACCATCGATAATCCCCTTATCAACACAGTCTTGGCAATAGTTCAGCGATTATAATGATTTCAAGAGACTAAGCCACTACTATATAGGGAATTGATGGCGAAAACACCGGCAAAATTAAATGGGATGATGATGGAACGGACGTTTAAATACATCAGGAGCAATTAGCAGCTTCCACCTTACCGCAACAAGAATCCATCAGTGGTCGNCTTCCACCTTACCGCAACAAGAATCCATCAGCTTTCGAATCTGTAATTAATATTATCAATTTTGCCGTTAAAACCGTTAAACACTTCGGACAGTATTCTAGTTGTGACAAACCAACGAAAATTATTTACTCCATTGCATTACGTTTGACGCGCCGTCCTTTAATTTAAAAGGTTCTAAACGTTTTGTCGACTTGCGCTACTAAGTGTCGCGTTTCTTTGAAATGAAAGTCATCATCACAATAAACTGTAATGCACACCAAATAATACTTGAATTTGTTTTCAGTGTTTCGGTCGTGCCAGTCCGTTAGAACAAATCAAGACATACCCGCGGGAATTCCGGTAAAAAAATAAAAATATTTTTTGACAGGAAAACAAATACTTTAGCCGTTAAAGTTTAGCTAATGTGTTCGCATCTTTGTATTCGTGATATCCTCGAAAATGCGTTGCCCTTCTTAGAGGGATTTGCTGTTGCGATGGAGTTGAATACAAATTCACTTTTATTATAAAATAACATTTTGTAGGCATTGCATGACCGCCCGGCGTACACATACTCACTCGAATATATGTACTCACTGCACTGCATACTTACGCGGATCTTTTATTGCCTGTAAACGGCTCTATGAAATAGCCGCGGAGGCTAATATTCTATCGACGTTTGACTTCTATTTAAAAAACAAAAATGGAATAAAATAACTCCCCGTTGTAACTAGTTGCAAGTAGTGTTTGGAATTTAATTTACCGATCCCACGTGTGGTTTATAATTTTACTTTCAAGCCAATACATGCATTTAATAATTTGATAATTGTTAGGAGCGTTTAATCGCTGCCGGAGTTCAATTAATCATGCCAAAATACAAATTCAGAAATTGAATTTCAAAACAGTCGGTTGAACGTTGCCAATTAAATAACACCTTTGTGCTGAAAATATATGCATACACATGGAGTGTTTCTCTAAAAATATATAAGCCTTGCATTTTTACCGGTATACACGTACTTAAGTTGCTGAGAAAACTCGACTATGCCTGCCATTATAGCAGCACTTAAATAGAACTAATTAAATCATAACAGAAATATTTTGAGGTGTATATATTGTATTATTAATATCTATTATACTATGTCAATATTAGACACGTTTCAAAATCAAATTAGTGTCTATTAATATCAATTAAACTATATTTTAAAAATCGTTTTTTTATGTAACGGCAATATAAACGTAGACTTGCTATTGTATTCTACAATATGATTTATTAAAAATGTTGATTACATTTTTTACATATAAACTTAAAGACCTTGTGTTATTAACACTTAAATAAATTACCATAGTTCTCGAATGCAAATATAATATTTTAATGATTTAACTTATTGTCATTTGAAATACAAACAAATCCATTTGTAATGTATTTTTATCAACTCGACAATACGTTCAACTTTTTATGTTTTAATAATGTATTTATAATTGTACTTTGATGAGACTTGGAACGATTCAATCCCAAGTTTTACGTCACGTATTCATGTTAAACAAACTATCCTATTTGGCGACAAAATTCCTTTTATATTTTCGAAGCTAACAGATTTTAAACGCATCTCCATTATCATAGAGAACTATTCACTTGTCCACAAACTCATTGCGCCGAAGAATATTATGTAAAGTAAACACTGTCTTCATAGGAACACTTCGGCGACGGCAGGTCGTTAACCGATTTTATGACCAAAGCAAACTGCTCGGATCGTCGAGGGTACAGCATAAGCTCTGCTATAATTTATTATAAAAAACCTGTTGATTCTCTCCCCCCGGCCTTTTACATTTCTTCGGAACTATTTATAAGTACTGAATTTATTAAGCTGTTTTCTCGTTTTACCCTAATCGAAGCAAACTTTAAACTTATATTATTGTTTGTTTGTTGTAAATTCTAAAATACATTAGATAAGGCTCACTTTTTTTTTTTTTTTTTATCTATTTACGAATAATGAAATTCAAGTTACGCCAAAACTCATATTTCTTCTAGCACAGTATTATTAAAGTATTGTATATAATATTTTAGCACAAATTTAATAATTTATCCAAATGCATAGAGAAAATTAAAAGTTAAAATTATTGTGATCAAAATTAATCAAAATTTTACTCTTACATTTACATATACAGTATACTTTTATAACTTGACTCTTGTGTACAATACAAGTTAGCTGTAAAGTAAGTCTCTTATGTTGAAATATTATCTCTATTAGACTGTCGTTTTTAATGAATCAAATAATATTGTAACGTTTAATAATAATATCCGAACGGGAAGTTATTGGATACGTATATTATAAAACGTAGTTATATTAAATCAAAATATTAAAAATAGAGAAAACAATGAGAAAAGCATACCTAAGATACTTGGCGAATTCCGAGAAAACCTTTTTAAACGATTTTCCCTGAAAAATTACTAAAGGCTAAATGTTTGTTCCGGATCAACTGAAAATTGAATCGACTGCTTGTATTTCGGAAATTAAACTTTTCAGTACGAGTTGACTACACACTAGGGAGGGAAAGAGATCTCACGCCCCTACTCGCGACCGTTTTCTCGAAAATGATATTCTCCGTCTTATTAGCAGGTTTAATAAAACATTGTAATTGCAATGTGCGCGTTTACCGACCGACCGTTTTTGACGAGGGACAAACTGTGTAATTAATTAACCGCTTCCAAGGATTCTGCCACCGTGTTTATAAAAGTGTGTATAATTTTATTAAAAACGCGTGCACAAAAAAAAAAAGCCGACCGCAAAATCCGACCGAACACCATTAGGTCTTTAAGTAATTGACTTATGGCGATCGGCCAATTTTAAGCACTGCACATGTAAAAGCCTACCTACACTCACGCGCTCGCATTGTGTACTTGGTGCGTTTCCATCAAACTAATTAATTAATTATTACACTACCGTGGGCAATAAAACGGTAATTATACAGGTCGGGGGTGAGCAGTAGTGTTGTGTAACTGTAGTACGACACACGATTCGATGTTGACGCTGGCCATGCATTAAAATTCCACGTATCCCATTGCAGAATTCCTATGTCCAATTAAATACCGTATCAGACACACGTAAAAGCTCGGCTTTTGTTTTTTATCGCCGTTTTTGGCATTTAAGGATCACCGTCCTTTGCAACAGATATTGGTTGTCCGTACAATCGAATTTGTGACATTCAAGCAAAAACAAAGCGAAACAAATGGCTTAAGAAATATGTTATTACACCGGCCAAGATGGGTATGAAAGTTTCAATTAAAAAACGCGTCTCCCAACGCTGCCGTATAGTTAAATCCAAGTTGATAGCCCACTGCATTATGATTCTCGGACGGGAAACATTCAAAATGTATTGCTATTCTAGACGAGTACTGAAATAGTGTAATTATGACGGGCAATTAATTATGACACACGGTGTGTAAATTAATTAAGGCGAAGTTGATGTACGCCGGCAGGGTCAGGCGAATAAAAGTGTAATAGTTTTGAAATGCGCCTAAGTCGGGACGGAGAAATGCTCGGTGCTGGTAATAATATTAGCGATGGTAACATTTTTTACCCGTCGAAAAGTGAGTAATTTTACAAGGTGGAATCGCGGGTCGTTTAGCTTTTGACGAGCGGCGGTGGCGGTGGCGGGTAAACGATAGTGGCGGTGGGGATGAACGTACACACAGCGATGACGACGGGCGGCGCACGCCCCGCGCACCCGTTCAGTAGCTGTTAAACTCGCATTACAGTCACGTTAACAGTCATTGCCGGCACCGTCCGACGCACAACGCGCGCGTACGTTATCGTTCGTCGTAATCGTCGTCCTCGTTTGTCCGTTTCGTCGTTATCATCGCGATTTCGTTGAAATCGTTTTTTTCCGTTCAATAAACCTGTATCGTAGCGTGTGTGCGCGTTGTTATTATTATTGTTATTTTGTGCATTTTACCGGATAATAATAATAATAATAATAAAATTGTAATTAATATTGTAACGTAACGTGTAACCGATGGCGCGCCCTTTGGTGCTCGAAATGTGCGGTGTTATATGTGCCTTGCCTATAAACATGTGAAATTATGTTGACGATGCAGATGATGGACTGCAACGGGAAGCCGCCAACGATGGCGGCGGCAGACTTGACGTCCACCGATGGCAACATTCGCGGTGGACTTGGTCGGGGGGGCACGATAACGCCGTCTCCGGAACCGGCGGTAGGTTACATCGGAGGCACGTGGCATCCTCACGTGTACGGCAATCCTCCGAGGACGCCGACGGCCCACAAAATAGCCGACATCCTGGGCTGGACCAAAACGGCCGCGGTGGACGATCAGCCGCTGAATTTGTCCACTGCCGGTCGTACAAGACCAAACGGCACCACTACGGTGCTGGACTTGACCAAAATCAAACGCAAAGGTATTTAGAACAAAAAGTATCTTTTTACACTTGTAGAGTACGTTTTGTTATTGTTATCGTCGAATAACCTGACCATCGCTATTGTGACGTTTAAAGAGCAGATTTACGCTATTGTCGCAGGTGGTTTTTTCATTAATGTTCGATATTGTTAAAAAAAAAACGTCCTCTATGTGTTCACCTTGACTGTGCGTTTTTAATCTAGTCAATCGTTTTGCTTGCCATGGTAAATGCATCGTCTCCGTCGATTTTCCAACAAAATATCCTTCGTCCGAAACAATAAACGTTATTGTGCTGATAGTCAAACTAACCGAACGGATTATGTCACGGAGCGTATCCGACGACCTCGGAATTGCTCGCCGCCGACCTTAAAACATTTCGGACCATAATTTGATTTTCCATTAAAAAAGGCACGGTACCGTTTCGTTCAAAAAGCATCGAGTTCCAGTTTTATTAATATTCATCGGTTCATGAAACTGTTACACTGTTAGCAGTATATTGGCGTGTCAGCAGTGATTTTTACCACCCCGACACTCCCATAACTCGTGCCCCTCATTGGTTATCGCGAAACGTTTTATTAGATGCGTCTCGGCTAATATTTTGATTGCGACGACGACCAGGTTGTCATTTCGTTAATATCGTGCGATCATGTGTTCGGGGCACCTAGGGGTGTCATATAGGCCCCGGGTCGACCAATTCGGATGTAGGAGCTAAGGTCCTCTTTGTTTTTACCATTGTCGTAACATTGTTGAAAATCTCTTACAATTATAGATTTAAAAAATAAAATCGTCGCCGGATTGTGTGTTTACACAACGCTTGTAACAACAGACCAATGTATTTTCGACAAAATTGGCTGCGAGTCATTGTTAAGACGATTTCCGAAATGAAATGGATGTTACCGCCAGTCGCAATTGTTTCCAACTGATAAGTTTTTTTTTCCGACACTTGATAAAAAAATAATCGTAATATTGTTATTACGACAAACTTGTACATGTAACGGCCGATTGTGTTATTATCGTGACCCGTTTGTCATACGCGTTTTCCAATATAAAATCCATCTCGGCAATAATAGTGACAATAACAATAATAATAACGAAATTGAAAAAAAAAACCCGCAGTCGTCCGAAATATTGTGCCGTCGTACCGGTTTTTTTTTCTTCTATCTTCATAACCGCACACAGTGGCATATACCGTGTGTGTTTTTTTTTTAATATTAGCCACTCGATTTTCATAAAATAATTATTATGTTAAAAGAGTTATTTTTTGTTTTCATATATTTCTTGATCTATCAATTATTAAGTATTTTTTTTGTTCGTTCCTTATACCTTTTGAGGGTATAAGCTTTATTTTTTTTTTTAATTGTGTATGTACATATTTAACTAGGTTATAAAATAAGGAAAATGAAATTGAAATTTATAGAGTGGAGGTGTGGTGTGGGCGTATTATTTTTATCGTTAAGTATTACCTTGCCGCGCTCTTCGTCCACTCAATATTTAAAAATAGTAATAACTTCTGATGTACTATTTCAACAGTTGTCATCGACCGGTAATTTTCTTAATTCGATGATTTTTTTTATTTTATGAGCTAGTTAAATGTGTATGTTGCCGCTTAAACAAATTAAGAACTTTATAAGGTGTAAATTAAAAAAATACTTAATAATCGAGGAATGTATACAATTAAAATTTACCAAACAGAATTTGCTGAATACAATTATTATTTTAAAGAAAATAGAGTGGCTAATATTAAAATAATCATTCTCTGTGTGTTGTACATGAATAATTGTATGTGTGTGTCATATATTGAGTTAGTCGACCGACGGTCTCGCGTTATTGTTACTGTTACACAATCGCAGTAATAACTTAAGGTCAGAATAACCGGCAGCGAAAGGGTGTAATATCCGGAATTCCTTATCTCCAGAAGACCAGAAAAATGTGCGGGAGCTGTCCGAGCAAGGGAATTTATTCGTAGGATTTTCTTGCGGATCTAATGTCTGGCGAAGGTGTGGAGAGCGGAATTATCTTGCTGACCGTTGTCCTCTCTCGTTCTAACTCCTATGGTCGCTTGAAAATCCGCTTTTGAAGCCGCCGGTCGTAGGCGCCTCGACCAATAGTTTTCTCGTTAAAATTCTCAGTGCGCTTAATAGACTCTAAATTAAGAGGAAGCAAATTGCATAGATCAGATCAAAACAGATCAAATGTTTGTTTCCAACAACATCCGCATCTATTCAGAGTGAGATATGTCATTTGTGATACTGAAATATTATTTTATAAATAATAGACGTTTCTGTGTGACTGGGTGGGATACTCCGCTTAAAACAATAATAAACGTCACTTCAAACAATATTTCAAACGTTCAGGTTTTATTTACCGTTTCAATGTATATGTTGTACACCATCTGACATGTGGTGATTAAAAAAAGCTGTTCTGTTTAAAATCAAACATACACTTTGACCTAACAATATTTTCTGATTAACATTTAATAGCTAAAATCAGAAATTTTGACCACCACAAACGATTTAATACAATTATCATCAATAACACACTCATAAATGTGTTTGTGATAATTTTTAGTAACTAACTAGTAATAATTATCGACGCTAATGCAAAGATAATCGAATGGAATCAAATTTTGCATATCTCTTTAGAAAATACATAATACAAATGATAATGTTGAACCATTTTTAATGTATTGATGTCACCAACGTAACATATTTGTGATTTTCTTTAGAAAATATTTAGTCGTGCAGTTCTGAACTACAATATTATATTGCGACTTGTTTTATCGCGAATTTAAGTCCTGGCTGGTCATATGGATATTTTTTGAGACCCAATGTTTCTTCTCCAAAGAAATCAATAAGTATTTACGTTATTTCCATCGCTTATAGCATAAGGATAACGTCTCCAAAACGGTTTTTGTCTGGGGTTAATTCTTCAGGTCTAAATCCCCTTTCCAATGTGACTGTACGCTCTTCTGAATATTACCACCATTCCTCTAGTCCAGACGCCGTTCTACACTTAACATGTGTGGCATTAGGTTTTTATACTGGTATATAATCCAATAAACAAACAACACGACCGGCATCTTGGTGGCAAATGTTGTATACGGCCGTAAAGGTAATCCTTTGCCGGGCTGTCACCGTTCGCACCTTATCTGTACAGGCACACCGGTCGACATGGGCGACATTAGTGTATTATTTGTACTGCCAACATCGCTGGCGTTTGTTTATGAATCACGTGTAACAACATTAAAATTTAAGAGAACACTGTAAAATTTCAAAAAATAATTATTATTTTCAATAGTTATTTATAAATTCTCTTATCCAATTAAGTTTAATTTTGTTTAATATGTATTCGACGTCTCGTTTTTCAGCTAATTTAAACAGTCAACCTATTGGTCAATTAAGAACCCTGTATTCATACAAGGCGTCGATTACATAAAAAAAAAGTGCAATAAAATAAAAACCTCGTTTGTAAACTCGTTTGCTAATAACCACAGGTATATATAATATTCTTAAATTGAGAGAAACTCCCAAATTTACATTCATAAAATAAAAACGGTATAAATAAATAAAAATCTCATTTATAAATCCAATGGTTGATTATGCGTGTCATAACAAGTCACCCGACAACAGCGGTGTTGTTGTTTTTACATACATAATGTATACATGGAAATAATATATCGGATTTTAATGAGACCGCACCGCCACCGCTTTAGGTTGCCGGCAATAACTTTAATAAAATACAAATATTATAAATTGCTAGCCAAGACGTTAACGTATACATTATATCCATATAAATACCTCAGTTTTGGTGTCTACTTGGCTGTGCATATATCACACGGGTTTTTTGTGAAACAAATGCATGTGCACCTGTTCAGTGCACGCTGCCGTTAAATCGTATGACATATATTGTTGTATAACAATAAACATAAAGCGTCAAGTACAAGTAACAACTGAAACGGTTGCTGTTATAGTTACATCAGTAATAACCGCAAACTCAGACGGCATTGGGAACACGAAAGATAATTACCTTCTCATTCAAATAAGACCCTTGACAGGTCGAGATTGGTACGAAGAAATTAATTTAGCCACTCTAATATTGAGAAGAGTACACGTTTTTCAATAACACATCGAAACTTTAAAAATACTATTTCAAGATACACGACCCGTTGTTTTTTAATGTAATTTTTTCTTATGAAATTTTACGCTGAGCTCTTCATAAAATATAATCAATAATGTTTTATTCGAACTTTGAAATTTCGCTCAAANGTTTTATTCGAACTTTGAAATTTCACTCAAATACATTATTACTATTATTTATGTACCGCAGTCACGGTTTAATATGTTTTTTATTTTATAACACAAGAACTAGTTATTATTTTTTATTAATACCTTATAGGTATTTATGGTCTCCAACAATTTTGTACTAATCGTAAAAAGCACACGTTCAATTTCTGCGCTTTGTGTACTTGAGCTAGTAAGTGCCGTGACTGATGTATTTTCGTTATTATTNTCTGCGCTTTGTGTACTTGAGCTAGTAAGTGCCGTGACTGATGTATTTGTGGTCAGAACAAACAAAAAAAATAAAGTTCATTAGACTTTCAAAGTGTTTGCATTGATATGATAAGTATTTCGAGCGTTGGATTTTAATATTTTAATGTTAGTAAATTGGACGACGGATGAATATGACAGCTACCATTTTGTGCTTGTTATTACTATTAATGTCCTTTTATGTAGTACACAACTAGGCATTTTTTTTTTTGTGTCGTTTAAACAATTTTTATACAGCCAAATTGACCGAGATCGTACGAAACTGCTGAATAAAGCAATACAAACAACGACGATTAAAAAACACGGTTTTTTTTAAACATATTTTCACGCTGTTTTTGTAATTCATAGTTTATTATACAGTCGAAAAAAACAATGGTATCGTTTAAGTCTATCTCAACCAGTAAACATGTAAACGCGCATAATGATCAATATTGTGTTGGCGTGAGTGTGTTAT